AGAAAGAGCCATAATCCTCTGCAAAGCAATCTCATGTAGCAAGTAGCTGAACCTGCAGAACTGGAGTATTTAAAACTAGACAGATCAGCATTGCAGACAAGATGCAGCAAATGATCTTGATTAACAAAGAGGCGAGGTGTTGGCTGGCATTTTCCATGGCTTAGCACAGTCATTGGGAATTCTGCTGCTTGTGGGTGCAGTAACTTCTAGTCACCTGTCTGTCTTCTGGCCACGCAAGGGAGTGCTTGTATGGAAAATCCCAGCAGAAAGTCTCCACCACCTACAAATAAGGATGCTGTTAGCAGCACGTATCTCTTCACACTGTCCTGCCAGCTGCCTGTACTCAAGGCTGATAGGCCCACTCTGCCACAGAGAGCACATTGTGGCTTTAATTTTCACTTGCCTCATTTTTTGCAAGGGGAAGGTGGCACGCAGTGATGGTGTGGATGTGTTGTGAGGTTGGTACCATTAATTCACTGCACATGAATAATAATGCAGGTCTTGGATTGGGAAATGTAATGAATTATTGGTAGCACGGTGCTGATTCAGGGAGATAAGCAGTCTTCCAGTGAGAGAAGTGCGAGCAAGGAGCTGGCTCTGCTTTTAGAGCAGAGAGATTACATAAAGATTTGAAAGCCTTATCAGCTGCTTGGCCCACGTTACCTGACAGTTTAACCATTTGATTGAATGCCCACGTCTCAGTGCTGACTGCTGCCCTCTGAGAGAACGAAGGTCCCAGAGGTCCTCCAAGTACTGCCTCTCTTTCAACTCATCCCAACTCAGTCCCCATCTACTTCTTAAGGTGCAGGGCTCCTGACTATCAGACCTGTTAGCATTTTGACTGATGACCCTATTTCTTTGCCTTTTGTTTGCACACATCACTGGTTCCGCAGGCCAAATTGTGTTAAGCTCTCTGCTGGATTGCATGCAGCAGGCCAAGTGCCAGCCCTTCCCTGCAGGATTTCTGTGCTTAATGCTGAGAGGAGACTAAAATCCTAGGTATTTTTTTTCTGGTGGGTTTAATCATAAATAACATTTTTTGACACCTTGCTGCAGTTCATGCCGTGCTTTGTGTCATATGTTTTGCTCTCTGGGGGATTTAAGGAAGGTATTTTGAAGGAACCAGATGTTTAATCTTTCTTGTGGAGTTGGCTGCTGCACAGAAGCTAGTTGGAAATTGTGAGGTGTTTTGCACTTGAAAAAGCCTTTCCATTTTACTTTCTAAATCAATCTATCTGAGCTATATATGGGTTTAGTGTTGTATAAATGTTCTAGAATAAGAGAAGACTTGCTATGTGCCATTCACACTATTTACTCTTTGCAAATGTAGGTCTGTCCTGGTGAAACGTCCTCAAGGTGTTTATGGAGTCCACAAAGAAGAGCGGACAGCTCTTTGCAAACGAAAAAATTGTAGGTTCTTCCTTCTTTTCACTAAGCTGCACCCAGAATTTAGTTGCTGAATTGAAGACAGGAACTAGTTAGGAGTTTTAAAAGTACCAAAGCTAATCATGAATGTTAAATACCTGCCTGCTTTTGGAACTCTCTTTACACAGCCACTTCTATCTTCAGGCACCAAAAGCCTATTTGGTATCAGTCTTTCTTTACCTGACTTTCTTATCCATCCCAGAGGAAAAACTGCACTCTAAGGTGCCTTAATGATAAACAATCTTTCTGAATATTTTCCTCTGATTATTTCTCCTTCTGCATTCTTCCCTGGGATGCTGTTGACCAGCTGCTGTGATTTAGCGATGCTTTGTTTTACCACGACTTCTCTCCTGGTACCACAGATAGCATTCACATTGGCATTAGCACAGGTGCCAGGGTGGGAGGGAAAGCTCAATTCCCTAGATGTGCTTAGGAAAGACCTTTTTTGTCCATTTCTTTGAATGCTGAAGGGTGGCATGACCTGTTCAAAGAAAGGTACAGCTCCACCCAGCCCGTGTTCTGCCCCAGAGTTGACCATGAAGACTGGGAGGTGAAAGGAGATCTTTGTGAAGAAGAGCCAATCTGGAATATGAAGGAGTAGCCCAAATCTATTAAACGGCGTTTCTGTGTACATTTTGCTTCATGATCTTCATCAGACATGTATCAGCAGGTTTTACGGGATGCAGTTTGGATGGAAGGTGTTTAAGGCCATACTGATTTGTTCTCCAGATGCCTTTTAGGCCCTCAGCCTGAGATGCAGCAGTATCTGAAGGATACTTAGCCTTGTGCAGTTGACACACTGGAGGGATGGGATGCCATCCAGAGGGACCTTCACGGATTGAGCAGCGAGCCCAGGTGAAGCTCCTGAGGTTCAGCAAATCCACATGCAAGGTCTGCACCTGGGTCAAGGCAGCATCCACTACCAATACAAGCTGGGGGATGAAAGGATTGAGTGCAGCCTTGCTGAAAAAACGTCTGAGGGTGCTGGTGGATGGGAAGCTGGATATGAGCCAGCAGTGTGCCCTTGCAGCCCAGAAAGCCAACCATATCCTGGACTGCATCCTGAGCAGCATGGCAGCAGGGCAAGGGAGGTGATCCTTCCTCTCTGCTTTGTGCTGGTGAGACCTCACCTGGAGCATCCAGATGTGGAGTCCTCAGTACAGGAGAGACATGGAGCTGTTGGAATGTGTCTAGAGGAGGGCCACAGAAATGATCCAAGGGATGGAACACCTCTCCTGTGAGGACAGGCTGAGAGCTGGGGCTGTGCAGATGGAGAAGAGAAGGGAAGGCTGCGAGGTGAGCTGAGAGCGGCCTGTCAGTATCTCAAGGGGAGCGACAGGACAGAAGGGGACAGACTCTTTAGCAGGGTCTGTGGTGACAGGACAAAGGGAAATGCCTTCAAGCTCAGAGAGGGGAGATTCAGGTTAGATATAGGGAAAAAGTAAGTATGGTGAGACACTGGAACAGTTTGTTTAGCTCCTAACAGAGATGTGCATCTTTTGCTGCCTTCCCATCAGAGGACAGTTGCTAATTCACATTTCGCTGCAGATTGCTGTGCCAGGCTTTTGCTGCTCAGAAGCTGTAGGTTTTCATGTCTGTTTCCTGACTTATCATGACTCTTCTAATAATATGGGAACTTCAACACTGATATCTTGGCAGCCTGATACAGGAGGTCAGTCTGCAAATATAGAAACAATTCTCTTTGCCTCAGCAAAGACAGCAAGTAAAACACAATGTAAACAAGGCAGTTGGATTGCTTCCCCCACTAGGAATATTTGTATTTATGCAGGCAGATTTACTGGGTGTGATTAAATCTCACACTCCAGCTTGGCAGCTGATTAGCTGCAAGGGGCAGTCAGGAATTTCCTTTCTCTTCCAGGGCTGCACGCTTTCAAAATCTTCCTTCAAGTTTGTGCCAAGGATCTCAAAGTGCTTTGGTTTTTTAATTACTCTTAATCACGCCTCTGCAAAGAGCAAAGATGAGAGATAGCACAGCCTGCAATGGAGCAGTGGGGAAACCGAGGCATGGGAGATGGCGGCCAACCTGGGGCAGTAGAAGCTGTGACCATCAGACTTGAAGGAGGGAGAGCCGAACATTGCAGCAGTTCTTCGTGGGATTTCTGTGGGTCTCATGATCTTGTGTCAGTTCTCAGTAGTCTGTATCTTTAACATAGTAAAGTGCTGGCTGTCTGCAGGAACAAAGTGGTGCTTTGATGTATGTATTAGGGTACAGTCACCAGAGGGGAAAACGTATTTCTCCCCTGTAAATTTCAGTTTATTTACTTGGTCCTGCAGCATACTGTTCCTCTAATTTCTGAGCTGAACAGCATATATAAGCATTGTTTGTTTGTTTGTTTGCTTTCTCTTTGTATAGAAAGGCACTTTGCTCTGAAATAGCCTCAGGTGTTGGCCATGACTGAGGCACAGAACTGGTTCAGCTCCATAAATGATATGCTGCTGTGTCCCTACAGGGCAAATCAGTGAATTTACTGTGTGGATTCACCTTCTGTGGGTGTACACTAAAGGAGCTGCACTGGCTTTGATTGCTTTGCTTAGAGGTACAGCCAAAGAGAGCTGGCCTTGCGACATCAAGGAGGGGAAGATAGTTTTCTTACTAAGGCACACATTGGTCCAGTGGGACCAGTGATGCACAGACACAGCTCTGGCAGGCATGTTAACCTTTCTCACCTGTCTGTTACTTACACTGAAGATGAAACAAGGTACTAGCCAAGCCCTCATCCTCTTTCTCAGGATGGTAGGAACAGAGAAGGGGTCTTTCTCAGTGTGGCTGAAGCTTGAAGTCCAAAGATGGGAATATTTTAGACCTCATAGGGTGGAGAGGGTTTCTTTCAGGTAGGATTTCTTATTTTATGGTGGATAATCTAAGTTGGTTTTTTTTGTTGTTTTTTGTGGACAGCATCTTCCAGAGGTGGGTTCTGGGTATCAAGAAATGGATATGCAGTCTCAAGTCAGCAATGCCTGAAGGGAGACAGGGATTCAAGCATAACTGACAGTCCCCTTTGCTAGGGGCTTCCTGTTGTGCCTGCCACCATGATATGACCAGCTGCAGATCTCTGAAGCTCAGGGCTGGAACCAAAGGCCAACTTATCAGTCATTTCATTGCCTTAGATGGGTGTCTAAATAAGCTGTCTGAATCTGACCCTCAGTCTAGTCTCAAAGCTTAATTATAAGTATCACAGAATCACAGAGTTGTAGGGGTTGGAAGGGACCTCCAGAGATCATCGAGTGCAACCCCCTGCCAAAGCAGGTTCCCTACTCCAGGTCGCACAAGGAGGTGTGCAGGTGGGTCTTGAACATCTCCAGGGAAGGAGACTCCACCACCTCCCTGGCAGCCTGTTCCAGTGAAGTAAACAATATGTTGAGCGCTTTGCAGTTCCTAGCCTTTTCTCCTTATGTATCTCTGTGCAGGCATTTGAAGTGCATTCATCACAGCGGTAAATGAGTGCCTGTTTGTAATTAGGTATCAGCTGAACCCACAGCATGATGCGATAATTCTCATTCTGATCAGCTGAAGTAACTCTAACAGTTGTGCTCTTCTTACTCTTCTCTTTCAGTTCCCAGGAAGCTTCTGCATGAAACCCAGCCAAGGCCAATCAATTACCAAGGATTTCAGAAGCCACATTTTCCACTGCTACCAAGGCTGTTTGATGCCGATGTTATAGGAGACGGCGTGTTCCTTTCTGATGTCTCTCCTCCCGGTGTAGGACGTGCCCTCCCAGGTAGCTATGACTATTGTATGACTGGCTCAGACCTTACTGTGGTCTGGTAACTCTTCCCCTTATGGAAACTTATACTTTATCCGGGTTTCTGTTTTGTACCTGTCCATGTGACGGTCAGAACAAGAGGTTCTGAGGCATTAACAGTGGCTGACCACAGTGAACTGTTAAACTCACACAATTTCTTGAAATAGCAGTCATGGCCATGCGTGTCAAAATTCATCACAGAAGTACTTTGAAGACCCATCCAATGCAGTCCCAAATCCAAAGCAGGGCAAACACGGCAGGAGGTTGCTTCACTGGGGACAGAGGTTTTCAGCTGAGCTTTGAACTGTGATGCCATTTTCATAAGAATGCAAAGTGGAGAGAGATGAATGAAGTCAGGTCTTTGCTATCGAGTGGTAGGTGAGTAGGAGGAAGGGATTGATTATGAATAAAGGAAAATGGCAAGTGAGCACTTACTGGGTTAGGCAATGTTTTTGCATTGTGTTTCCCAACACACGGGGGGCGGTGATGACAGGACTGCTGGAATTTCCTACCCTGCACTCCCTGAAATGCAGTAGGGGGTTGCTGTGCACAGAGCTGCCTTGTGTCTGTCTGTGCTGTAGGCAAAGTTACCTCACAGCCTGCAGGCGGTTACACGTCAGCGATGTCACTTTGGTCAGCGGAGACCTTACTGGAAAAAAAATTGTCAAGAAAACGAACTTTGGATTGGCCTGAAATAAAATCTGTCATCTTGGTGGCTTTTTCAAACAAGAAGAAAAACACAGAGCTTATTTTCATTCCTGTAAACATTTCACTTCTACAAATGACACCTCTTTAGTTTTCATATCGTTTATTCATTCATTTAAAAAAAAATGCAGTGCTTTTCAAACAAGGATGTCAGTTTGAAATTAACAGCTGAAATATTGTTTCAGAAATTGCAAAAGGAAATATTTGGACATTTCTGTAATCTCCCTTCCTGTTTTATTTCTTTTATTAAAACTGTTTGCTAAAGTCAGCCCAGTATCTTGAATAGTTTCTCCTAGGTTACTGGGCAAACTTTCTGCTAGCTGAAGTGCTTTCGCTCTAATTTGGTGTAAAGTCGCAAGGAAAACAGCCTGAGTGAGTCAGAAAACTAAGAAAAGGTGGACGTGGTGAAGGGGTAACCAGCAGCAGGTGGGCTGCTAGGGCAAGTGAGGTCTTCAGAGCTAGCAAGCAGAAAGGGGTTGTATTGAAATGTGATCCTGGGATAAAAGGCAGACAAGGGAACGGCGTAGCAAACCAGCACGTGACCCTTATGATGTTTGGTTGTTTTTCCCTCCTGCATAACCCCAGCCATTTTCTGTCTTTCCTGTCTGTTCTTGTACAATCCTGTAGATGACAAAACTAGTTGTGATGCTCTTTGCTGGAGTGCAGTGTATGCAGATGAATGTTCATTGAAAAACTTGTTTGATCGCATCTGTTCCTCGGACAAGTCAGAAGAAAAAAAATGAGACTCTCTTTACATCTCGCGTAAGAGGAGTTGTGCCTTACTCTCTCCTAAAAGGCGCCATTTTGCACAGCTTGTTTTCCAGGGGATGTCCAAATCCCCACATAAGTGTTTTCATCTGAGCCTTTCCTGACTGGTGTAGCACATGCAAACAGGGAAGCCCCCATGGCAAGTATAGTTTAAATCTCATTCCTAGTGAGATGCTGTGACTGCATTGGCAGTCACTAATTCAGAGCTGGACACGTGAGAGTGTGATAAAGAGGTGCCAGGTTCATATCACAGAAACCTCGTAAAGACCTATCAGAAACCTGTAGCACATAACTCAGTGGTTCTCTTTAGGATGAGAAGTATGTTTATGAGATTATATGCTGGCAGTGCTCTTCCTTGTTGTTAGTTGTAAAGAGATTTTAGATTAACTATTTTAGAACCAGAGCTCTGTGTGCATACATCCAGGGGCAGGGTTCTGTTGCTTTTACACAAATGTGTCATTTGTAGTGGCAGAAGCTATTCTAAAAGAGTGGGAATTTTCCCCACATCCCTTCTCATATCTGCCATCTGTGTGGATGTCCTGCTGACCCTGAGATGGCTTAAACGTCCATGTGAACAAATACATTGAGCTTTTAAGTTCCTGCTGTGTGGGGGGAGCTGAGTCACTCCATTAAGATCTGTCAGCTAACAGCAGGATTTGCTTGCCATGGTTTAGATACCTAGTGCTACATGAGATACTTTGAAGTACCCAGGGCATCTTCAGGAGGGCAGGGGTTCAGTTTGAACGAATAAAAAATGTACTCTGCTTCCTGTGGGTTTCTTGGTGGGAGTGGTGGTGTGGTAAAGAAAAAGTCAACCGCTTAAAGACATGGATTTACTGGGCAAGGAGAATAAAAAGAAAAATTAGAGGGCACGTTAGCATTTCTGGGGTCTACATTTGAATTAAAATATTTTCCAAAGATTTGCTGTCAATTTCCTGCTGGCTGTGCCTTTGCCCTTCTGTGCCTCTATACACCTAGTTGTAGCAATCTCTATTCTCCCAAAGGAAGGGCTTCTGGGGATGTTTTTCTCTTTTGCATCTGCCACCCAGAAATCCATGTTTGAAAACCCTTCTCTGGGGCAGTCATTTACACCTTGGTAGCTCGGTAGGTGTGATTTTTCTCAAGGCCATGCAGTCTTCCAGTGGCAGATACAACTGCACCCACGTTCCTTGGGGCTGAACCCTCACAGCAACACCCAGACATCCATCTCTGCTGCTTCTCCTCTGAGGCACATTAGGGCTTGGCACTGCTGCACACACATTCATGCACTCAGTCCCTCTCCATCCAGTATTACCTGTTCTCTGGCAGCTCTCGTTCAGTTGCTGCTCCTCTGGGCTGTGCCGCTTCCCATCACACACAGCAGGAGGTTGAATGTCTCGTCTTGCTTTGCTGGGTTAGCAGGGAATGGGCACAGACTGGGTGAGCACAGATGATCTCTGGTTGTGCCCTTTGTTTGCATGGCACTGGTGGCATTGTAGGAGGTGGATCCGACAGTTTCCTGAATTTAGTACTTGCAGACAAGTGGAAGCCAGAGGCAAGTCTGTGATTCTACAGTGTGCTGCTTGGAGCCAGACACCCAGGAAAAGGAGCCTGAGAAGCTGCAACAACTACCCTTAAACAATCACATGGATGATGGAGCTGGATCCTGTGCAGTGGTTTTCATGTGTTCAGAACAATTACTGTTTTGTGACCAGTGAGAGTGTCTGCCAGCAGATCAAGGTGCAAGAAGTACTTGGCAGCGAGCTGATAAGGTCTGAAAGGGTCTCTTTGAGCCTCCTGGAATTATGTGCCTCCTCAGCTCTGGTCTTCTACAAATAAAATCAAATCATTAACTCACACTTGCTCACCTCTCCAAAGGGAAATGATGTCTGGGTGAAACACAATGCAAGTGAGCTTCTGAAGGCAGTCATAAACTCAGATTCGCCCTTCTCTACAAAGGCTGGGGAGAAAGTGTTGTCTGTTTGCCAGGTGCAGGTGGATCACTGCAGCGCGACTCCAGCACAGGGTTGCCAGCTCTGGCTGTGTTTTCCGTGCCCATGTGCAGACTTATAACAAGCTTAGCTGATAAAGGCTTTGTTGATTTACGTAAGATAAAAGAAACCTGATTCTATATTTGCTGTAACATGGGTGGGTGTGTCTAGGCGGTGACATGAAAGAGCAGGAGACAGTGGAGAGAAGATGCTGTTTGGGTGCAGACAGGGCATGGGCTCAACCGAAGCTAACTGCAAAGGTTTTGTTGCCTCAAAAAGGGGAACGAATGTGGGTGGCTTGGTGCTGAGCAGCTCCAGATCTCTGAACACAGATGAGGATAGGTAGGGCAGGACAGGGCTGGTGCACGTGCCTGGTTCTTCACTCCCTTTCTGTTTCGAAGCAGAGAAGAAGAAAGGGAGGTCGGCCACCTTCTACCCTCTAGACAACACCTCCTTCCTGCTTCCTGTGGATGAGACACAGCCACCAGCGTTCGCCAGCAGCATGGAGCCCGTGGGTGTCAGCACAGAGATGGCACTGCTCAGCAACATCCTAGCAGCGTACGCCTTCATCACAGGTAGGTCTGGGGGCTGCCACCTCTCTGCGCTCCCACAGGCTGCTTGTGGACTCTGCACTGAGCCCTGCGTCTCGGTCATTTACGGCTAAATCCGTTTCTTTGAACTGTTGGTATTTTTCATTTGTCTCTCAGCAAATTCTGCCTTGAAAGGCCTGACCTGGGCAGCTCTGGCAGGCAACATGCTACAGGGTTTATGGTGCTCTGCTTTCCCCTGGATTTGCTCTCATCTGAAGTTAAATACAGTGTGATCTTAAATGTGGTCTTATTTCTAATGCTGTGTTTTTCCTGAAGATCAAAGCCTGGCACGTAAGGAAGGCAAGCTTGTTGTCCCGTAATTTGGAAAATAAGAGATCATTACCCTGCTTAAGAGAATTTGGCTTATCTTCAGTAGGAATGTGAAGATGAAGTAGCTTGAGAGTCTGCTTAATTATATATTTAAATGTGGTTTAGAGCGAAATTTCCTTGGATCACAGTTTATCCTTCACCCACATGTATCTTTCAAGTAGCAGAGGAATAGTCTTCCTTTTAAGATTTGCATTAAGAAGTTACTCTTGAAATAGAGACTGTGTGCTGTGTTCAGTGCTTGGACTCAGTATCATTGAGAGTAAGAAGTCCAGTAGAGGCAGACAACGTAGTGCAAATATTTTCCATCTTGTGAGGTGCCTTGTCAAAACTAAGAATTGACTGCAGAGCTGGAAGATCCACCCCCCAAGAAGGTAGCACTGGCTCTACGTATTTTAGGACAATCTCTGCTGCTTTCTGCAGAATGAGGGCCCTGTTTTTTCACTGGCCTGCTGTGACATGCTGTTTACAGCCAGTTTTTCTTATGAGACTGCAGAATGTTCTCCATTTTAATGAAATGTTTGTATGCACCTTGTTGGTATTGCTAATGTGCTGCTCTTTTAGTACATGCTGTGAATGATTCTGTGCTCTATAGCCACTCTGCTCACACCACCCTAATGCAGTTAAGCTGGGATCTGTGTAACTAAAACTGCATTCGGGAGCAGTAGTTATTTCACGTCTTTGTGACATTCAGCCTTACTGATTCAATAAATAGAAATGCATTCTTGGTGCCCTGCTCTTGCTGAGATACCACCGTGCTGCTACAGACAAGTATTTGGATTTGAAGTAACTAACTTGGGCTTTTCATTTTGGAATCACTAAGTAGCTTATTAAGAGTTTTTCTGCATGTTAAGTGAAGGATCCTTCTAAGAGGACGTGAATATTGAATGCAAAGTTCTGCTTTTCTACACATTGAATGATGTCATTGAAATGGGCTGTTGGTGACACTTTAAAGAAGCTGGCAGCCTAAATGCAAGTAGTGATGTTCTTCACAAAAGATGACTGAGTGGGATATATTTTTGTTGCTTGGACTTTCTAAGGAAAGATTAGGGAAAGGAAACATTAAATGTATCTTCTGTCTATCATACTTCTTCCCTCTCTTACCTACATCTATTTTTGCTGTGGAAAAAGAATGCCTGTATTCTCAATGCTAATAGAAAATAAAATGCTGTTTGCATTATTTTCCCCATCTGCAAAGTAACGGGTAGCAGAAAGTTTTAGGATTTACGATAGGGGCAGTAGTACTAGGATTTAGGACTGCTGACTTTGCTTCCATTTGCTTCCACAGCACAACTCTGTGACCTTGCAGTCATTTTATGGGGCACAAGGCCTCAATTCATCCCTTTGCCAAGGTGTCAATCTTGGCAGGAGCCTTTTGCTCCAGAACAAATAGTAAATCACGGGATCACAGAATTGCAGGGATAGGAAGAAACTCAAGGGATCATCGAGTCCAGCCACCCTGCTAAAGCAGGTTCCCTGCAGTTGGTCACACAGGTAGTTGACCAAGCAGGTCTTGAGTATCTCCATAGAAGGAAACTCCGCAGCCTCTCAGAGCAACCTGTTCCAGTGCTCCCTCACCCTTACTGTAAAGAAGTTCTGCATGTTTGTATGGATCTTTCTGTGTTCAAGTTTTAGGCCATTGCTCCTTGTCCTATTGCTGTGCACCACTGAGAAGAGCCTGGCCTCATCCATTTGCCTCCCACCTTCCTTTAGATATTTATAAATGTATATCAGATCTCCTCTCAGTCTTCTTTTCCCCAGGCTGAACAGCCCCAGGTTACTCAGCCTTTCTTCATACAGAAGATGCTCCAAGTCCTTCATCATTTTGTGGCCCTCCACTGGACTCCTTCTAGGAGATCCCTGCCTTTTCTGAACTGGGGAGCCCAGAACTGGACACAGTATTCTAAATGTGGCCTCACCAGGGCAGAGCAGAGGGGGAGGATCACCTCCCTCGACCTGCTGGCAATGCTCCTTTTACTGCACTCCAGGATCCCATTGGCCTTCTTGGCCAGCAGGGCACACTGCTGGCTCATGGCTGACCTGTTGGCAACCAGAATACCCAGGTCCTTCTCTGCAGAGCTCCTCTCCAGCAGGTCAGCCCTGAACCCTTATTGATAAATGCAGTCATTCCTCCCCAGGAATGACTCTACACTTGCTCTTGTTAAACCTGATCCAGTTCTGTCCAACTCTCAGCCTGCCCAGGTCTTGCTGAATGGTAGCACAGCCTACAGGTGTGTCAGCCACTTCTCCTAGCTTTGTATCACGAGCAAACTTGCTGAGGGTGGACTCTATCCCTTCATCCAGGTTGTTGATGAAGATGTTGCATAAGTCTGGACCCAGTACCAACACCTGGGGAACACCACTAGTTACAGCCTCCAACCAGACTGCACTGCTGATAACCACACTCTGAGCTCAGCCAGTCAGCCAGTTCTCAATCCACCTCACCATGCACTCATCTATCCTGCACTTTCTAAGTTTCACAACAAGGATGTTGTGGGAGATGATGCCAGATGCCTTGGTGAACTCAAGGTACACAACTCTCACTGCTCTCCGCACATCTGCTCTGCTAGTGATGATATCATAGAAAGCTACCAGGTTGGTCGAGCACAATTTCCCCTTGGTGAATCCATGTTGACTACTCCTGATAACCTTCTTCTCTTCCAGTTGATCGGAGAGGGTATCCAGAACAAGCTGTTCCATCACCTTTTTAGGGATGGAGGTGAGGCTGACTGACTTGTAGTTTCCTGCATACTCCTTTTTGCCCTTTCTGAAGACTGACTTTCTTGTTACCCTTTACCTTCTTTGTAAGGTATAATTCCAAGAGGGCCTTAGCCTTCCTCATCGCATCCCTAAATTGACAGCCTTAGCTGTCGTGTTGATGCGGGACTTACTTGCTTACCCTCTTATAAAGTGGTCTCCCTGTGATATGTTCAGATTCACTAAATGCCAGATAAATGGTGTAACTCAGACCTCACCACTTTGGCTTCCAGTGATGAGTTCCTGAGCTTCTTGCTCGTGTTCTCCAGTGCACTTAACGGTGAATGTTGGATGAATTTTAATCTCAGCAGTATGTAGGTTCAGGTTGGTATTTATCACAAAAATAATTGATGACTGTCCTATGGATTGAAACAGCAGATGCTGTAAACTCTTTTTATTTGCTACATGTAATGTTGTCATTTGCTCTTAGCAAGAAGGATGGATTTGGCCTGGTTTATTTTACTGTATGTTAGTATGGGGAGGAGGCTTTAGGTTATGAGTTCAAAGACACGATGTGTGACAGGGCACAAATATAATGGGATAAAACTAAGGCACTGCAAAGTAACTTCTCTTCTTGTTGCAGACTTTGAGATCACTTGGAAATTTTCATGTTTGCCTGAGTTTGCAGCCTTGAAGAGGGCTTACACCACACCAGCTGTTGATGCCCATAGAGAAGTCACTACAGTGGCTTAAGGGAGGCAGGGATGGCCAGGGAGGTTTTGGTTCATATATCTTCCACCACCCCTGACCCCAGCCTCTGTGCCAAAGGGAAACAATGCAAGAAGTGCTCTGCTTCATGATACTAAAATGTCCCTCAGGTACACTCTGCAAACTGAAACTGAAACTGTGCTATTCTGTGATTCTATGAAACTGCTGATCAGGACTTGCCTGTGCTGGTGGTGAGTTGGCTCAAAACAATATTTTGTAAAAGCAAGTTGTAAACAGACAGGGAAGAGACGTACACTTTTTTTTGTTGTTTGGGACAGAGGATGGTGTACAGCCTCAGACCTCCAAGAGAAGGACCTTAGGGGCACTTGGTGTTGCATGGATCAAGTACACGCTTGAAAAGATCTTCCACTCTGCTACTTTTCCTGCCTCCTGGCAGTGGAATGTTTCTTATCCTGAGCAGAGCACTAAAATCCACGTCCATGCTGGCGTTCGCTTCTTCTGCTCGAAATGACAGGATTGGTTGGGAAGCTGCAGATGAAGAGCTGCAGGCTCTGTTGTTTGCACAGTTGGCACGTGCAGAGTCTTACTGCACACGGAGTGGATGAGCACCAATATTAGCAAAAGCCTCTGGCTCATTTCTACAATCTTTTTGGTTGCAGTTGCCATGTAAATGTTGGAAATGTTCCTGCTGACAACCAAGGGGTGAAAAATCACAGCACAGCAGGAAGCAAAGCCTCTCTGCAGGAGAGTTGGTTTTCACCGTCAAATCTGTTTGCGGCTATCACCATGTTTAGGAGCATCACAGCCTGTTAAGTGTTACCCAGCTTCCAGAGCCTCGAAAACATTTCCTCAGAAACAGAGGGAAGGAGTCAGCAGTGCCTTGTGATAAGTGGATTTATCAGCTGATCAGACAAATGAGTCTTACGTGGACTGTGGTCCTGCAAAAGGCTGAGGAATGCCCTTAATTTAAAAGCCAATTTTTGTTATAGAGTTAGGATTAGAATTAGATGTAATCCCTGTGTGTAAATCTCAGTCCTGTTATTTGTCACGGACCTGATCCAAAACCTGTCTGAGTATCTGAGAAGACTTCACTGCTCTCAGTGACAGCTGGACCTGCCTCTGCAGTCACAATCTTCCAGCAGGACCAGAACTATCCCTTCTGTTTATATAAATATTAAATGTCTAAATTGTACCAGATCACTTCCAGTGCCTTCCTTTGGATAGAGGACTTACCCTAGTTTTGTATTCAGGATAAAGTAGTTAGAGGGAAACCTCCACAAATCCCTGTTTCATTCTTCCGTAAGCCCTAAACCATTGGTGCCAAGTTATTAACAAGGAGCTTCCAAAAAACAACCCGGGGGGGATCATTCCAACTTTTAGGCTGCTTGGCCTGAGCTTTCTTAATAAGGGGCTGCTGGAGAGCTTCCTCTGTCCGGCCAGGGGATTTTGGCAGCCTGTGGGGCTGACTGTAAATTCCCAAGAAGATGTTATTGCTACTGTTTGTGTGACTGTGCTTAATGCTGAGCCTTTCACTGGGAGCTCTGAAACATCCCTCCCCACTGAGGTTTCTGAATATATGAAGCCATCGCAGGAAGCCAGCAGCATTAATGCCTAGATTGCTTTGTATTTATTGAAACGATTTATTATAATACCAGTAACAACCTTGGCCTGTGGCATTTCCTGGGGAATTAATGGCAGTCTGGGCTGATGCTCCCAGCAGATTGTTAGCCCTCAGGAAACAGGCTCCACAATTGCTGCTGGTTTGGTTGGAAAAACAAAATAAAATGTGTTTCTAATTTCTGGGCAGCTTGACTGCATAGAAAGTGGTGGGTTTTGTGTAGAGAGTTTATGAAGAGCGTGTATCTTTTGTCTGCAGTGATTAAATTCAGGCTTGAATCAGTGACTTTTATCAACGCTTTTAGTCCAGAAAGAGAAATACCACAGAAGGGAAGGCAACCCCATCTAAAGAGATTGGCAGCAGCTGGCTCCTTCCAGAAGTGTAGGAGGAAAACACAGCCTTGCTGTCATCCACAGCAGTGGAAGAAAGAGCTCCACTGATCAAAATCCGTGTGCTAAAGGGGTAGTGGGGCACACATACACATGAATTCATATCAAACTATTGTTAACTGATATCCATATGCTTTTAAAGAGTTTTTGAAATACTTTGAGACGTGTTACTGTGGGCATGATGAACGTGAGCTCCCTTGAGTTTTGGAAGGTTCTGAGCATCCACTTCTGAAGAGGATGCTGCTTTTTGTTCTTTGTAAAGAGGATGTGCAAAGGAGGAGGCGAACTGATCAATCCCCCAAATCCAGGGGGTTGCTGATTTGGCTGCTTCAGCTGAGAAAAAAACAGCCCCTGGTTTTTAGCTTAAGTTGCTCTTCCTGCTGTAGAAAGAGAGATGTTGCTGCACAAGTGGATTGTATGCATGATAAATGCCGAGGCTGCTGTTGAATGGAGGGTTACAGCTCATGAGGAAGTCCAGACAGTGTCTCAGATGTTGACAGAGTAGCTGGAGAAGCTCGTAAATGCCAGCGAAGCCCAAAGATTCGATTACAGCCTTTGCACTGCATGGAGAGCTGTACACAAGAGGACGAGCAGGGGATGAAAAAGTTGCTTAAGTTGCTTAAGTAGCAATGGAGGTGCTGCTTGCACATGAGCAGGATACAGTAGCATGGAAAAAGGAGTAGGGAGGAGAAATGAAAAGCAGGACATGGACAAAAATGGGAGGAGAGAAACCACGTGTCCTTCTCAAGCTCAAACCCATGTTATCTTATGAGTTGCTTTAAAAAGAGTGAACAGTGGAACTAATGCAACCAAACGAAGCCCCTGTGTGTGCAGGAATGCGGTGCTCAGGAAAGTGCTGGGCATCGTGTCAGCCCAAGGCAGAGCAGGGGCACACTGCACTTACTGGCTTCCAGGACAAACGGATCAGTGCTGCTCATTTGTGCTTCCCAGTCTGCAGTCCTCCTTGTGCCTACTTGCGAGGGCAGCTCGCTGTCCTGAGTTGTCCAGATGGAGGTAAAAGGGGATGATGACACTTTTCCTGGGGATGTCATGTCTCTGCAATGAAGACAGCTTCACTGTGCACGCTGTAGCAGATGGACAATGGCTTTGCTATTGCATAAGCTGGGCTGCAGCTTTTATTCAAGTTCTGCCCCTTGAGTTCAGGATTCCATTAACTTCACTGGGGCCAGGATTTCAGTCAGTCACATTGCTGCAGAGCGATCAGCACATTCTCCATGATTGTTCTCATACCTTTTTTTTCTTTTACCTTCTGGTTTTTTGTTGACTCACTCTTGTCAAAATACCTTAGCTTAAAGTCTCTAGCTTTGGCCTGCCTTCTTTCTCCAACTATTGCTGCATTTTTTTCCTCTTCTGCATTGCTAAATGCGTCTTTTGCAGTTCTTTCCTCCTTCTTTTGCAGTCTGTCTTCAGCCTCTTTTTTCCTCATGCCTTCCCCATTATCCAGTCTAGCAAGTCTCATGTTTTATTAGCCATATTTCATACTGTCATGACATCTTCCTCTTCCATGGCTTGTCATTTACTTTTGAAATCCATTTGGTAGGAGAGAAACACAGAACACAAATGCTTCTTGTTCACGTAACTGTTCCAAGAGCATCTTGGGGCATTGAACCACGCATTGCCTTAAACCATGCACAGGTTGGTGTCTGGGTTCTGGACACAGAATCAGAATAATTTAGGTTGTGTGGGGCCTCCAGACGTCAGCTGGTCCAACTCCCTGCTCCTGCTGTTTTCCTTTTCTCCTATAAAAGTTTATTTGAAGGAAATCACTTGGAGAATGATCTAAAAGCATAGTGTGGGGGGTGAAGGTAGAGCCGAGTCTTGTAGTTTTTCCAGGGACCAAATACTGGTCTACCAGCTGGGGGGATCTAGGTCAGCTTCATCTCTGAGTTCAGGGGATTAGGCTCATCTGAGGAGTTGAGTCCGTCCTTGTACTCAGGACTTCCAACAGACACAGCAGAGCAGAGCTGGCTGTGACACTTCTGCTTGGTTCATCTTCACCCACTCAAGGTGTCTATAAACGTGAAATATGCTGAGGTGATTTAGCCCAGGGCAAGTGCAATAACAACATTTATCACAATTACACTCCTTAGCAGTCTCATGAACCAAAAAACACCACCCTGTAGTAAATAAAAAGATAACCTAGTTGAAAAGGCATTGTGCATCCTTTGGAGTCTTGTTGTATCACCCCGAAATGCAGCTCTGCAGGACTCATCGTGTCAGGGCACAAACCCCAGCAGTGCTCCTGTAGCACAGGTATTCTTTTTGGTGGTCTGGGCAGAAAGCCAGCGCACTCGCCTCGGATAAGCAGAAGAAACTTATGGATAAATAATATGCATTTTTCCATGCTGCAAGGCTCGCCATTTCAGCTGAGCTACAGCACAGAGTGAAGGTAAAGCTTTATAATAAACTCTATTCTTTGCACAGTGGTAACGGCTATGACAGAAAGATGCATTCAGTTGCTTTTGCTTGCGCTGCTCTCAGGTTTCAACGCCATTCTTGTAGGAACTGGAATTAGCACTTAATTCATTTTTCAGTTCAATTTCAATTCAATTTATCCTTCCAGATAACTCCAAGACATAACTGCAGCTAACCTGCATTCTGCATGTGGGTCACTGCCTTGGCAGCAGATCTACCACATAAAATCCCCTCCCTGGCTTCCCCGGGGAAAGGAGGTGAAGGAGGGCTTGGAAGCAAACAGAACCATTAGAAACCCTGCCCCTCCGGAGACCATTGCTGGTGTTTGCACAGAGGAACAAGTCGTGCGCTTTGTTTGTTCAGGAGTCGTTCTCAAGCACTCTTTCCTTTCCCCTTTCAGAAAACCCCGAGCGCGCGGCTCTGTATTTTGTCTCCGGGGTGTGCATTGGACTCGTCCTGACCCTGCTGGCCCTGGTGCTGAGGGTGTCCTGCCGCACAGACTGCAAACGTTCCTCCACCAAAAAACCTCCCCGGGAGAGCGACAGCGACAGCAGCGACAGCGATGGGGACTCGGACAGCACGTCGGACGTGTCGGCCCGCAGGCACCGCAGGTTCGAGAGGACTTTGAACATGAACGTCTTCACTTCGGCAGAGGAGCTGGAGAGAGCGCAGCGGCTGGAGGAGCGGGAGCGCATCATCCGCGAGATCTGGATGAACGGCCAGCCCGACATCCCCGGCACCAGGAGCCTCAACCGCTACTACTGAGAGCCGGGCGCCCGGCGTCCCGCTGCGCCACGGGGCTCCTCCAGCCTTGCCGGGCAGCAGGGAGGTGCTGAGGAATGCCGTGGGGGTGCTTCCTCTTCTCCTTCCAGGAGTGCTGTGCGATGGACAGCAGTAAAGCTTTCGCTGTCTCCTTTTCCCTGACGTATGACTATCAGCCCCTTCGTGGACACCTTCTGGTCACATCAGAGGTGGCGACCATCTTCGTTTCTGAGTGGCTGGCACAGAGCTGACAGTGTGAGTCCCCTGTGTGGAGCACGGAGCTTGGCACGCCGTAGTACGTGTTGCCACTTGTGGGGGGAGCAAAGTCATCCAGGTTTTGGTTTTCATTTAGGAATGTTGGGCTTCCCTTTCCTGTGGACTCTGGGAGAACTGTGAACAAAGCTACAGCTCTGGAAAGATGACTGGGGAGGGCTGGGGGGGACATCCTGATGGACTGTCTTGTGACTTCAGAAGCCATGAGATAAACCCCATTAAAAACCAATGGCAAATATGAGTTGTGAAGAACTGGGGGGTGAGGGGAGTGTTCTTCCATCATGAAATCATCTCGGTGCTTGGATGTTTGCCATAGTGTATTCAGTTATTTATGGCTGTCTTTCTTTCATACTCCTTTTCAATGGGAACATTGTTTTTTTAACCAACACCTCAGGGATAAAATCCTTTTTTTTTTTTTTTTTTTTTTTTTTTGGAGTCTGTTCTCCCTGCTGGTCCCTGTCAAATACAACCCAACTCACCTCCAACAGTGAAATTATGGTAATATAGGAGATGTGTCAGTGATTGGTGAGATGTTAACAACCTCAAAGAGGTTGAAAAGGCTTTTCTTTTTGTTTTGTTTTAAATATATATATATATATATGAAGATGCTGCACAGGAGTGTGCCTTACTCTTTTTTTGTTGTTAAACTGAGGTTTTCCTATGGATAGCAATGCACAATGTTTTATATATTTTATTAATAAAAATGAAAAAGGAAAAGGTCTATGTTTACTAGAAGAAAATTGAGACAAAAGAAGCCACATATAACAACAGAATGGGTAATAAATGCTAAATAAATTCTAGTTTGCTTCAATACATTTGAATTTGCATCCTCACTTTTGATGCTTTTGTTGCTCAAGGAAAATGGTTTGGAAGAGTAACACACCTCTGCAGGCAATCCAGGCTGACATGCCTTGCAAGCAGGAACCTGGAGGCACTTTTATTTGGCCTCAGCCCATCAGCCTGCTTCTGCAGTGCACCGGAGCAGCTGAGTGATGCATTGCTTCCCAACAGCCATCCCAAAGCCTACCTGCACTAAGGGAAAGAGTACCAGTGATTTCATGATGCTTTCAGCCTGTACAGCAGTCCCAAATCATACCTGAGCCAGAAGCAAATGTTAATGAAACAAAATAATAGATGAGAAGAAAAAAAAAGGTGGAAGTGCTCTTTCAGTTGTCCTGTGGAATTTTCAGTGGGTTAGTGACACATTCCACCGGGCACAGAGAGTGGTGGTGAATGGAGTCAAATCCAGCTGGCGACCGGTCGTGAGCGGTGTGCCCCAGGGGTCGGTGCTGGGGCCTGTCCTCTTCAATATCTTTATTGATGACCTGGATGAGGGCATCGAGTGCACCCTCAGCAAGTTTGTGGATGGCACCAAGTTGGCTGGAAGTGTGGATCTGCCTTGGGGTATCGAGGCGCTGCAGAGGGATCTGGGCAGGTTGGAGAGCTGAGCTGAAGCCAATGGGATGAGTTTCAACAAGGCCAAATGCCGGGTCCTGCACTTCGGCTACAACAACCCCAGGCGACGCTACAGGCTTGGGGCGGTGTGGCTGGAGGACTGCGTAGAGGAAATGGACCTGGGGGTATTGATTGATGCTCGGCTGAACATGAGCCGACAGTGTGCCCAGGTGGCCAAGAAGGCCAATGGCATCCTGGCTTGCATCAGGAACAGTGCTGCCAGCAGGAAGGAACAGGGCAGTGATTGTCCCTATGTACTCAGCTCTGGTGAGGCTGCACCCTCGAGTGCTGTGTCCAGTTTTGGACCCTCACTGCAAGAAAGACATTGAGGCCCTCGATTGTGTTCAAAGGAGGGCAACAAAGCTGGTGAGGGGTCTGGAGCACAATGGGGCCTTATGAGGAGCAGCTGAGGGAGCTGGATTGTTAGTGTGGAGAAGAGGAGGCTCAGGGGAGACCTCATTGCTGTCCATAACTACCGGAAGGGAGGTTGTGGTGGGCTGGGGTCGGCCTCTTCTCTTGTGTAACAGTGATAGGACTAGAAGGAATTGCATCAAGCTGCACCAGGGGAGGTTTAGGCTGGATGTTAGGAAATACTGCTTATCTGAAAGAGTGGTCAGGCAATGCAATGGGCTGCACAGGGAGGTGTGGAGTCACCAACCCTGGAGGTGATCAAGGAACGTTTGGATTTTGTGTTTTTGTGTTGAGGGACATGGATTAGTGAGATCTATTGGTGGTGGGTGGATGGTTGGACTGGGTGATCCTGTAGGTCTTTTGCAGCCTTGGTGACTCTGTGATTCTGTAATTCTGTGATTGGATGAGTAATAAGACTTGATGTTTTCCAGGTCTGCGTAAGACTGCTTTAGCCCACACGGCTTTGGGATGTGCTCCTCATACTTGTATCTTAAGTTTGCAGAACAGTGTCAGTGACCAAAAGCTCTGAACTCCCAGAGCTTTTCCACAGCCTCGTGGGGAGATGGAGGTGGGTGGACCTGTCCACAGGATTACGAAGGATTGGAGAGAGGGGCTGGCTTCTGGAGAGTGATTCCTGTTCCTGAGCCTGTGCAGTTTCATATGGAATGATTCGGTATTGACATGGGATGTAATTTTACAGCTGATATTTAGAAATAAAGCAGGAGGCAAGTCCTGAACCCTGGGTGAGTCACCAGGTGCTGTGATTTAGCTGGAATTTCCAATGTGTTGTGTTGTGCTGAGAGGAGCAAAGTGACAGGATGAGGCCAGGGAGATCAGTTTTGTTGGCTGTGTCTTTTCCGCTGTAACAAATACATTCCTTCAACTTTGGTGATTGAGGAATGGTAGAGATTTGGATTTGGAGTGCTGTGTCCTGAGAGGGAGATTGCAAAACTGGTTTTAAAAATGATATAAATGAATAGATTTGTGTATGCAGCTTTTCCAAATAAATTCTTTTGTCCAGAGGAAAGAGCAAGTGCAGTAAGCCTGAGTGTACTTCAGATACAACCAAGGGATTCAACTGTAAATCACGAGTAAGCGCATGATGCAAACTGATGAAGGATGTACCCTGGGCACTGTGAGCACTGCTGTAAATCTTCCAGCTGAAGCTTGCGAGGCAAAGCAGCAGGCTGTGCACACTGCTTTCAGCTCAGCCTTCCGTGGGTATCAGTGTGTAGCACAGCTCACCATCTTCACAGTGCATGCATACTGCTGTGCACTTACAGCTCCTTTGGTCTCAGGGCCATGCATTTCTAATAAGGCTTTGATTGAAGAAAAAAGAAAAACACAATCCTTTGAGCTGCCTTAAATAAAATACTTTAAGTCATTCTGTAACTATTCTTGGATTTGATCCAAAACTATTGAATAGTTCTGGGGAAAAAAAAACACAATCAAGCTGAACAGGGCAGGAGTTGGTGGCTTGCGTTTAACTCTATAAACCTGCGGAGCAACACCACACAGCTGGAGCACAGAGGAGCTGGATTCACTGCAGAATGGGATCAAACCCATATTCTTCATCCCACAAGAGTCTTAAAAGGTAAGTTGTCCCAGTTGGATCACCACTGCTCTGCTGCTCTTTCTGCATTGCCATTTGGCTTCTCAGGGCCATTTTCAGCTCTTGCTATCATTTGCTCCGTTGACCTCTCCTGCAGACCTGTGCTCACTGTTCCCTGGCAATCTCACTGATATGGTGTTCATTGCCTTTCCCATGTCCACGATGCTGCTCACATCCTCCAGACATTCCAGCCAGTTAATAAGGCATGTGTTCCCTTCCAGATTGCTTGGTGCCACCACTTAACTCCTTGCCTGCTGCTGTTGCCAGCACCCCAGAGGCTGCACAAATAAAGATTGTCTCAGCTGCTGTGCTGCCGGGATGTGCAGCATACACTCGTGGTGCAGTGGGGAATACGAATTTCCTCTCATGCTGCATGAACTCTCCCAAGCTTCTCGAGGCATCACATGCAATGAATCATCTTAGGCTGGCCCAGAAATCCCTCTGCTCGTAGTCATTATTGAGGTCTCAATCGCAGTGAAGTTTTAATAAGGTGATCTGAGATTGTGGTGTTGCAGAATCACACTCATTAAGGTTGGAAAAGACCTTTAAGATTATCTAGTCCAACCATCATCCTATTACTACCGTACCACTAAACCATGTCACTCAGTGCCACATCTGCCCTCCTCTTGTTAAGCTCCAGGATGCTGACTCCACCACATCCCTGGGCAGCCTGTTCCAACACCTCACCACTCTTTCTGAGATGTTATTTTTCCTAAAATCCAACCTGAACCTCCTCTGGCACAACCTAAAGCCATTATCTTTTGTCCTGTGACTGTTACCTAGGGAAGGTGGCTGACTTGTCAAAATATTGCCTTTCCTTGTCCGCTCATTAATATCAGTACAGCTTGCTCTGGATCGACATGGTGCCTTAGCAGAATTTAAGCAAGTCAGTTGCTTTTTGGATTTTGCATTGCCCATTACTGCCTGGACGTGAGGCAGCACAGCAGTGCCATTGCCACCTTTTGGATTGTTGCATAAAGTAGCACGGGTCCATGGGTACAGCGTTGCAGTGAGTTATGTGTTGGAAGAAACAGGACCACCTGAATGCTGCTCTGAGATTTGTGTGCCTACTACAGATGCCTACTGGCTCCCTTGTGGTCCTTTTCAGAAGAAAACCGAAGGACAGTAAGGAAAGCAGACACGGTTTTATCCTTCTCAATGTAGAATTTTGCAACTGGCCCACAGTTTCCCTATAGAAGTCTCTGATGGCTGAGGGGAAATGCATGAGAGACTCCATGATGCAGTGCTTGGAAATGTGGCCAGCACCACCGCAGAGATATCTGATGGATGTCATCAATGATTCTCTTTTACCTCTGCACATGAGTGGGCTTCTCAGAAATGGCCCCAGATGGAGAGAATCCTGGACTAATGTGCTTCACACTGAAACTCCAAGCAGAGTCCTTGTCAGATAGGTATGGGGGACATGAGCTTGCCAGGTTTATCTTCACCAATTTGATGCTGTAGCTTCCTCAAGAACCTGGAGAGCACAGCCACATGCTGATGGCGAGAGGCTGTGACAGTAGAAGAGCATGGCTGTGGACATGGTCAGATCTCCATCACTATTAATACAACAGTCAAATGTGACAAGATTTGTAACTATGCTCTTCTTGGATAAGCCTCCAAGGGGCAATCTGGCTTATTAGTGCTGGAGAAACTGGTTTGAGCTGTGGGGATATACTGGTTGGAAGTTGCCCATGTATATAGAATCACAGAATCACCAAGGTTGGAAAAGACCTCCAAGACCATCCAGTCCAACTGTGCACCTTCCACTAATATTTCCCATTCAACTTGAGGCCATTCCCTCTCGTTCTGTCGCTGTTACATGGGAGAAGAGGCCGACCCCACCTCACTACAACCTCCCTTCATGTAGTTGTAGAGAGCACTAAGGTCACCCCTGAGCCTCCCCTTCTCCAGACTAAATGATCTCAGCTGCATCAGCTGCTCCTTAGAGGAGTTGTGCTCCAGACCCTTCACCAGTTTCCTTGCCCTTCTCTGGACACGCTCCAGGGCCTCCATGTCTTCCTTGTAGTGAGGGTCCCAAAACTGGACACAGTGCTTGAAGTGGGGATCTGTGCTACCCTTTCTTTTTTGCTGAGGAAAAGTCACATTGTTCATGACACTGGAGAGGATTTTGGGTTTCACTACTTCTCCCATTTTCCTACTGAACAACAAATAGCTGTGGAGTGGAAAGGAGGAATCAAGACCCAGTTCTGTATATTTTTTCCTGTTGATGTGCATTGTTCTGAGCAAAGCTGAGTGGCTGCACAGCAAACCAAACCTCAGGCTGTGGCTGA